TGTATTGATTTTTTCGCTTTACGTTACACTAATTTGAAATGTTAAAAATTGTCTGCACATCAGCATCAAAATGCCTTTTTAATAATATATAATTATTTATACTTTAGAAGTATAGTTTAGCCGCAAAAGGGGCTTTTTAAATATTCCCAATAATCTCTGATTGATTGATTTCGTATATTTCTACTACTATATGTTCGAGTACTCAAACATGAATACTTCCAGGGATATGCAGTATGAAAAATTCGATTTCTTTGAGTAGAGTAGAGAATACACATCCAGAGATATGCAGTATGAAAAACTCGATTTGTATGGGAGGTGCCACGCCTAATTTTCCAATAACATACATTTTTTATGAGTCTACGATTAATTTGGTATGGGAGGTGCCATGCCCCCTCTTCCAATTACATCCATTTTCTTCCATGAGTATGCGATTAAGTTCCAGTACTCTACCGTCAACACTTCCAGAGATATCCAGTATGAAAGATTTGGTTTGTATAGGAGGTGCCCCTTTCTTCACTTTGCGGTATGAAATATACTTTACGACCTCCTCCCCGCGCCCATTTTCCAAATAACCCCAATTTTTCTTCATAGCTACGCGATTGATTTTGTGTACATATCTCCATACCAAGCTCCAGTACTCTACCACAAACGCTTCCAGAGATATACAGGATGGAATATTCTGTTTGTATGGGAGGTACCTTTTCCAAATATCTAAATTTTTCTTGTGAGTATGCGATTAATTTCATATACCTCAATGTCAAGTTTCAGTACTCTAATATGAACACTCCCAGAGATATTCAATATGAAAAATCCGGTTTGTACGGGAGGTGCCACCCCCTTCACTTAGCGGTATAAAATATACTATACGACCTATTGTCATACCTACAAAATAAACACAAAAAATGTCATGCAAATCGTTCAAACCGTTTCGAAAGAGTTGACCACAAGCACCGACACAAAAATATTTTTCGAATGGTGGCAACCCTATGCAAATCTTTTTCTGTTTTAAATTTTTTCAAACGTTCTCAGTGGAATAGAATTATTGCGGCTTTTTTTAATTAATTTTTTTTGATACAGCATACTTACATTTTTCTTTGCATTCTCAGTGAAACAGAATTACGGCGGCTTTTTTAAATTAAATATTTTTGATATTTCTGATATCTGGCAACACCGGTTTTCCAATTTTTTCTTAATAAACCTTCTACAGACGTATAGAAACAAAATTAAATAAAAACGAAGCAAATGCGATAACACACGAACAGCAATTGGTTTTATATTTAAAGATTCTTTTGAATGGTGGCAACCCTATTCAAATTGTTTTTCTTTATTAAATTTGCTTATACATTCTCAGTGAAGTAGCATTATTTCGGCTTATGTATTTTATTTATTTATTATTTTGATATTTCAGATATCTGGAAACACCGGTTATCCAATTTTTTCTTTACAAACCTTTAACAGACAGAAAGAAACAAAATTAAATAAAAACGAAGCAAATTGAGCTGTTCTTTAGTTATGCGATAACACACGACAGCAATTCATCTTTTATATACAGATTTTTTCGAATGTTGGCAACCCTATGCAAATTTTTTTCTGTTGTAAATTTTTTAATACTTTCGTAGTGGAATATCATTATTGCGGCTTATTTAAATTAATTCTTTTTTTGATATAGGAATAAATCTTTATATGTATATACAGATTTTTTATCGAATGGTTGTACCCAAATTTTTTGCTATATTAAATTTGTTATGCATTTTCAGTGAAATAGAATTATTGCGTCTTTTTTAAATTTTATTTTTTTGATATTTCAGATTGTTGGCAACCCCGGTTTTCCAGTTTTTTCTTTGCAAACCTTCTACAGGCAGGGAAAAACAAAATGAAATAAAAGCGAAGCAAATCCGTTGAGCCGTTATTTAGTTATGCGATAACACACGAACAGCAATTAATTTTTATATTTAAAGTTTTTTTTCGAACGGTGGCAACCCTATTCAAATTTTTTCTATATTAAATTTGTTATACATTCTCAGTGAAGTAGCATTATTTCGGCTTATGTAAGTTTATTTTTTTGAAATTTCAGATATCCGGCAACACCATTTTTCCAATTTTTCTCTTCACAAACCTTTTACAGAAAATCCTCCTTGATATACCCTCCAGGCGGTTTCCGACTGGGCAATGGGCATCGCTGCTTACACCGTGGCGGCAGAATAGGCTTGCTCTTTTGCCGCAGTGGTGCAAGCAGGCGGGCCCTAGCTAAGGCCGCGGTATAAACTCTCCTGCCGCTTCTAGTGTCTGGGGTGGGCATACTGAGGCCATTTCTAGATGGTACCTGTCGGTAGGTATAAAACGTCCCCCTAATCCAGGGTGTCATGCGTCACCGTGCCCATTGCACGGTTTGCGGTCAAGGAATTTTCCGACTGTATTCTAACGGCGCCTCCCAGATACCTGTCAGCCTCCGGGAGTAACGGTGGATTTGCTGCGGCATGGGGCTCTGCCATGGTCGACTGTTTTTCCCCATTTTCCTTTTCCGGCCGCCGCAAAGCTTCTGCTTGGTAGGCGGCCTAAGAACCAGTTGAAAATTAATAAAAATAGCCTCGGAACATTACACGGGTAGTGCAGCCGCTGGACACGGCAAATTTAAGTCCAATAAACTCATCATCTCGGTACCGCATCGGCGGCGCCAAAGACAGGCCTACACGGGTCAATCAGTTTCGGTCCTCCGCAAAATCTGGGGGAATGCTAAGCCGCCAGAGGGAAAGCATATTTCCAGTAATACTGGCAGAACTGTACTCCTCGAGGGAAAGTCGAAGCGGATGGGGAAGCAGCGGGCGGCCTCTCTCTCTACGCCCACCCTAGGCACTTCCATATCGCAGGGGGTAGTAGTTGAATCCAATTCCTCCACGGACAAGCCGGGGACTACTCCTGCGAGTAAAACTCCAACCGACCTTGATCGGCGCCCTGGCTGCTCCACTGCAGCAAAAATAATTCCAACCTCCGTCAGGCCCCAACGCGACCGAAGGGCAGCCCCTACTAGGGATAAAACGATACTAGTAAATACAAGTACATACTCGATACTTTTCGTCCGATACCAAGTAATTTTGGTATCGATACTTTTGAACCAAGTACTGAGTAGGTATCGGAAGAAAGTACTTGTGTCGAAACCCGATTCAGAGAACATTTTATTCCCGGACTTTTATTTTTTAATCTAATTATTATTGTCAATATCTAAAATTTTTTGGCAGTTTAGTTGCCAATGAAAAGAAAGTCCTACAAAGAAAGAACTATTATCATCTCATTAACACTTTTTGTGAAAACTCATATTTGGATATAGGGAGCAAGGTAAATTAAAAACGCAACGTCTCCAAAAAGGATTAACTAACGTGCTTGTTTTATTTTTTCCCGTTTATATTCAATTAGAGGCAAATTTACTAAGTCCAAAAGAGGCATAGAAAAATCGATAAGCCCACAAGGAATGCTAAATCTCTTAATTTGCAACGGAACCTTCTGCAAAATTCTTGAAGGAAATGTTTTCAAAAGTTTTTTCTTCCCCTTTAAATTTTCTACAAATGGACTTAGCAACTTCTTACCCTAAAAATTATCAACATAATTACTTCTGTCAGAAATATACTGTTAATTCGCAAAACTGCTGTTGAATAGTGTTATAATACAGCAGACTTCTATTAATTAATTCATTTGTATGAAATAAATTATTAAATAATTGTTTTTGATCTCAATCGCTTTCTCTTTGTACAAAATAAATATTAAGTATAACAAATAAGATACGTACATGCAAAAGAAACGAATTCTGTTAACAAAATTTTGGGGACTTTTTAAAAAACAACTTGTTGGACTTTGCACTTTTTTCTTGTTTTTTTGGGAGGCCATCCTTGTAAACCATGTTTTAAACCTTAAAGTTTTGCTTAAAAAGATTAAGTAACTGCAATTCGTCTAAAATCAAAAATGATAGTCACACAAGTTATTTTAATAAAAAAATTCACGCCATTTTTTGTTTACATTGTACGGGAACGCTTTCTGGTAAATTCGTGTAAATTCTTGCAACTTCTTTCGAGTTAGGGAACGCAACTAATTCTTATATAGGTACAAATATCGATATAAGTAGGTATCGAAACTTTTAGGGGTGTCCTAATGCAGAAACGTGGAAAAATTCAAAAACACTGGCTTTTAACGTTTTGATAGACACTTAAAATTTCAGGACATTCTAGCATTCTCACAGTCGTCTTCAATGTCGTTTAAAATACTAAGTTCTCTCGAAGATAAAGCTGCATGTTACCTATTTACAAAAAGCCAATTTCATATTTCCAGAGTTTTCGCACAGCTCCGGTTATCTTACTTAAACCACCTGACTGTAAATGGTACATCATCAAAGTCATTGGGCCTTATGCATAAAAAGTGAGCTTAAGCTCACTTTTTATGCATGAGGCCCATTATGTTACCTCACCGATAACCGTTCAACTAAATTACTATATTATTATATAGCTTAAAATTAAGATAATTTATAATCAATGAGTAATTTGTTTTACCCCTTAGAAGTTCATCCATAAAGCACTTTGAATTGTAATTTCGAATGTAAACGTAGAAATATATCTTAGGAGCCCTCCTGCTCCAAGAGCCCTAGGCTCTTTTAAGCAGTAATAAAATTGAATCGAATTGAAATAAAATTGAGAAAAAATAATTGTAAGTTATGGAATATTCGAAATTGTTGTTATCAAATTGGAAGATATTTTAGAGATAACTAACAACACTCGAGAAAAAAATGTCAGCCTTCTTTTTAAATAATTTCAGCTCCATAATATTATCACAACTGGTACGTAGCGACCTGAAAATATGCCCATAAAACAATTGATCTTTTTGTTGTATTACTTTCTTGGGCATATCAAACATTATCAAAAACATTTCAACTATAATTAAAATATTTTCTTCTTAGTTACTTTTTACAGTACAGTTTAAGGAAGTTCCAACGTTATGTAAAAAATTTAAGAAAATGCTTAAGTATTTTCTTCGTGTTGAAAATTCAGTACAAATCAGAATAAATTGGAAGAATTAGAACATTAGCGTACTGATTGAGGACATGAATAAAATCAGTACAATAGTTGACAAACAAGAAATCGAAATGATAAAAGCGTGATAAAATAAAAAAAATGGAGGGATCAGCTATATTATAGCTATTCAACTATAGCTACAGGTTAGAGTCCGACCGATTAATTGGCATCGGCATGGGCCGTTTTTGGCCGATTCTTAGCAGATTCTTTTTACTTTTTCCGCAATTTTAACAAATGTTCATCAAAATTCGAAACTGTTTAATCAGACGTTTTTGAATTTTTGTGAGTACGCAGTTTTTTAAATATTAGTTTAATATTGTGCAAGTTTGAAGCAGCTAGGTAATTGTTGATTTTTGAAAATTTTTTGTCCACGCATTTTCTTCCAAACAAAGTATGTTCGAAAATTTTTTTGTATGGAGAAAATCCGCAACACCTTCGACAAAAAATTTCCAAAAATCAGCCGGTAAGTCCTACTTATTAAAATTTGCTCTTCGTTAAAATAAAATTGAATGGGCTACAAAACTGCATACCCATAATGTTTAAAGAAAAAGTTTGAAATTTTTACTAATATGGTTTTTGTTAGATAACGAGCTACACCTTCATAAAAACTAAGAAACATTAAATAAACGAAAGGGAAATAGCCAAAGAATGCTAAAATGTCGTGACTGTAAGTATTTTTACGATTATCCTTAAATTTATCGCTGAATTCCTAAATCCTTCGGGTTCTTTTCACTGGATTGTTAAATCGTTTACGTTACAAAAATACTTTTATCATTAAAAATCTACGGTTACTGTTTATTAACTACTAGCGGACCCGGTGAACTTTCTTTACGTCCAAAATTAGATTTTTGACTTAAACATTTTGGTCCAACATTTTCTCCAACAATCCACATTTACGATTTGTACTGGCACATTCATCGGCTAAGACTATGGTTTGGTGGTCGTTTGCCGCCTTAAATAATCTAACGAAAGTGTTATGTCCATGAGAAGTTCCCTGGTGGCAACAATAATCCGGATCTATTTATGGTTGGTGGCAACTTCAAAATGTATGCGTATCCTTGTTCAACAAAAATACAATAAACATACATAGACTGAGATGAAATACCTTAAAAGACAGTTTCACGAAAGCAATTTAAGTGAAAAATGATTTTTTTCTGTCAGGTTCTATATTAAATTCAATTAAAAAAATACATTTTCATTAAATTGCTTTCATGAAACTAGCTTTTAAGGTATTTGGACAGGTGGTGATTTGAGATTTACCACTGCACAACTCAACCCTGGTGTGTCCGAATGAAGCTTTAACGCATAATAATATTGGCAAATCAAACCCATTGGGCCAATCGTAACACACGAATACGGTTGCCAGACGTACTGATTTTATCAGTACAGTACTGATTTTTCAACTCTTGTACTGATTTTATTCATTTCTTCAATCAGTACGCTAATGTCCTGATTATTCAAAATTTGTACTTATTTGTACTGAATTTTCCACTCAAACAAATTACTTTAGGATTTTCTTAAGGTTTTTACATAACGTTGCAACTTGCTTGAACTGCACTGTAAAAAGTAAGAAGAATATAATTTAATTATAGTTGACATGTATCAAATAATATTTGATATGTCCCATGATACAGCAAAGAAGGTAGTTTCATTACTACTATTTTTTGATTATAAAGCAGATTTTTGACATTTCTCCAGATGCAAACATTAAGCATAGCTTTGCCACATTCAAATTTTTTAAGAGGGGAGATTTTCTTTTAAATATTTGGAATTTAATAAAAGCGTAAAATTTACATACAAAAAAATTAAGTGCGCCAGGGCCACACTGTAGAAGTGAAACATACGTTACTTATCTATCTATACATACACACATCTGCTTTTGCTTAAGGTTATTTTTTTCGCTTTTTTTCTATCGATGTAGACCTCTACTGTTCGTTTTAATAACATTCATGTTATTCTGTCTTTCCATTATCTTCATTTTTATCTTCATACTCTATCGATACAACGTCCATCAAAATATCGATTACAAATTCGATAAAACTTTCAATAGCAACATCGATAATACCATTGGTAGCTAAATCGATTAGAAATCGATAACAAAGTCGATAAAAAAATCTATAAATATCGATAACAAAACAAAATCGATAAATATCGATAACCAAATCGATAAATATCGATAACAAAATCGATAAATCTCGATAACAAAATCGATAAATATCGATAAGAAAATCGATAAATATCGCTCACAAAGTCGATAAATATCGATAACAAAATCGATAAATCTCGATAACAAAATCGATAAATATCGATAAGAAAATCGATAAATATCGCTCACAAAGTCGATAAATATCGATAACAAAATCGATAAATCTCGATAACAAAATCGATAAATATCGATAAGAAAATCGATAAATATCGCTCACAAAGTCGATAAATATCGATAACAAAATCGATTTATACTGATACCAAAATCGATAAATATCGATAACAAAATCGATAAATATCGATAACCAAATCGATAAATATCGCTAACAAAGTCGATAAATATCGATAACAAAATCGATAAATATCGATTACAAAATCGATAACAAAATCGTTAAATATCGATAACAAAGTCGATAAGAATCGATAAATATCGATAACAAAATCGATAAATGTCGATAACAAAATCGATAAATATCGATAACAAAATCGATAAAAATCGCTAACAAAGACGATAAGTATCGAAAACAAAATCGATTAGAATCGATAACAAAATCGATAATTATCGATAACAAAATCGATGAATATCGATAACAAGATTGGTAAATATAACAAAACCGATAAAAACATAGAATATTTAATCGACAAGTCTCGACAAGTCTATCGAAGATGTTGAAAATAGGGGTAAGAGCACCCCGGCTTACAATGTAGTGGTAGTTTTCGGAAAGGTGGAAAACATATTTTTAATTCTTGCGCCGGGTATTTAATGTTCGGCGCCGCCCGAACTTAGACTTTCTTACTTGTTACCTTTATCTTTACACATCTTTGTTTTTGTTTTTATTTTTACCATTGTCTTTATAATTTTCTATACCTATGTACGTACTCACCTTTACTTTCCTTCTTGTATTGTTATTTCTAAGTGTTATCCTCTAACCTTTTATTAGCAAGTTTTTGTTAAATTCATACCATTTGCATACATACAAGAAGTACTTGTTTCAGGCCCAACCATTTCCGTTTCACCATTTCCGTTGCATCATGTCCGTTGCATACACACAAGAAGTACTTGTTTCAGCCCCAACCATTTCCGTTGCACCATTTCCGTGTGCCATTGAATTTGCCAATTTACTACCCAACCAACCGCCGCTAAAGAAGTTTCACTTCAAAAAATTGCAAGTTGATGTGTTCGATAATCAAATTTGAATTTTTTTCTCAAGCGTTTAAAATATCCTTTGAATAATATCGATGTGCAGAGATGAAGAAATAAAATCCAGCCTTGAAACATTTATTGATTAAACAGCTTTTTAGTCATTATATTTTAAACAAAATAAATAAATTTACATAACAAAACTCTTTTTTTTTAATAGTCCGAAGAAGATGTAGTGATAGATATTTCGTCATTAAAGCATAGTCCGGAGCAGGCTTCGGAGAAGGTTGTATGGTCTCACTCCTCACAATTAAAGGAGTCACAATTCAGAATTCTCCCGAAGTGAAGTATATAGAAGTAATTCAGGATACAAAACTGTCGTGTAAATCTAACGTGGAACAGAAAGCCTCTGAAGAATTGGCAGCATTTTGGAAATGTAAGCAGGTCTTTGGTGAAACGTGGCGTGTGTCACCATAGGGAATCCTCTGGATTTATACCTCTATAATCAGACCCATAATTAGCTATGCGTCAGTGGTATGGTGGAGCAGATTCACAATCAAGAGCGTGGGAAGTCTGCTTGCTAAACTTCAGAGAACTGCTGCCGTGTGCTGTACGGAAGCTTTCTCTACAACACGTGGCGCAGCTCTTGATGCAATGCTGCACTTACCATCACTTTTTGTCTTCATACGTAGGGAAGCTTTAAAGGCCACCTGCAGACTAAAACGAAACGGATGCTGGTATAACACCGAGTGGGCCAAGGCGGAAATTGCTAGCGGCAGAGATCTGAGCACTTGTGTCTTTTCAGTGCCACAGGATAGTAAGCCAGCTTTACCTTTGTTGAAGCGATTCTGTAATGTTTAGTTCGCTGAGGCTGAATGCTGGTTTAATACCAGCACTGAGCCCAGAATCACACATAATCGAATCTTTAATGATGGCTCCAAAACTAACTCTCTCTAGGACTTTTCTCTGGGGAAGTATGCTTCGGTCTTTCAGGCTGAGGTATTTGCAGTGACAGCATGAAGCCTTACCTTTGCAAAGCACATCCAAATCCTTTTCGGTGACTGGCTTTAGAATAAACTAATATAATAATAGCTCATTTTTGCGGGGGGAAACATATTTACTGGTCTTTTGTTTCAAAGAAAAAGTTGGTTGGTTGTTTTTTCAAATATGGCGATGTATGAATTTAAATTTTCGTTTTTGCTCAGTAAATATATGATTAGTTTGTTCCAGTATTTTTCGGACTAAAACCTGTGGAAATGTCAAACTACAATTTTACTCTCGCTAGTGAGAGTAACAGGAGAACAGATGCAGAAGTGTACGGGAACGCAAAAAGCACTTTTTCCAGCAAAAACGTCATTTGGTTTGTTTACTTGTCATTAGTACAAGACTGATTTGGCTGAAAGGTCACTAAATAACTATTAAAATCTATATGACTAACAAGAATGGCATATAAATTCGAATGTTTCATTATTTACTTCCAGTTTTTAACAAATGTAAGGTTATTTGCTTTCACCGCGTTCTGTTTTTGTACACAAATGCAACTCTACATATCGTTTGACACTTTTCATGAATTTTCCAGAAGAAAAACTCCGGACTAAATCTTGAAACTTC